GTATGCTTGAAACTGGAGTTCAACTCCCAGAATTCTCCAGTCAGTTTCCTTTTTAGATGGCTGGACTTCAACTCCCAGCATTCCCCAGTCAGCACATTTGAAGATGTGTGGACTTCCACTCCCAGCATTCCCCAGCCAGCTTGCTTTTTAGACGGGTGGACTTCAATTCCCAATTCCCAGCATTCCCCAGCCTGTATGCTTGAAGCAGGTGGACTTCAACTCCCAGCATTCCGCAGCCAGCCACCCATCTTAAAGTCGCCAAGAAACAGCGCAGCAGAGGGCAGTAGAGGATCGCCCGTAGCTTTGCTATCCTAAGGTCGTGAGAAACTCCGCCACCTGCTCAGCGGTCATTCACGTCATCGGTGCAATTGCTAAATCCCGGACTAGACTGATAATCAATCACTCTCTCCTTCCCTCCCTCCCTCCCTTCCCCAATCAATCGATCAATCAGTTTCTCGTCCGATGACAGCCCAAAGGGTTACAGCTGATCAGAAGAAGGGGCGGGGCTGGACGGGTAGGTGGGGCTTGTGCCCGGAAAGGCGTGACGTCACTGCAAGGGGGGGCTCAAACGACCTCACGTGCTCTCCAGGAGTCACGTGGCGGCGGCTGCTACTTGTGGATGGGCTCCCCCGCAAAGGGTAAGGACTATTTCCAGTGGGAAGGCGAGGCTGGCCGTGGAGGATGGGAAGTGTAGTACAGCACATGCGCAAGGCGTCGGCTGTGTGGGCGGGGCGGTGCTCGGCTTAAGCCTCGTAGTTCCTTGGTTTCGGGCGTTGATTCCCTATAGCAGGGGTCCCCAGCCTGGGCCACTTTATGACTTGTGGACTTCAACTCCCAGAATTCCTCAGCCAGGAATTCTGGGAGTTGAAGTCCACAAGTCATAAAGTGGCCCAGGATGGGGATCTCTGCCCTATAGCTGATCTTCTAATGCAGTGTATCTCAACCTTGACAATTTTAAGGCATGTGGACTTCAACTCCCAGAATTCCACAGCCAGCATTGCTGGCTGTGGAATTCTGGGAGTTGAAGTCCACATGCTTTAAAATTGTCAAGGTTGAGAAACACTGTTCTAATGGTGTGGAACTACAACTCCCAGCATGCCTCGCCTGGGTATTGCAATTGTTACAGCCTTCCCCCGTAAAATCCCCTGATTAATTTGTCTTCCCGCTTTCTCTCCAGTGCAGATTCCCCAACCTGGGGAATTGAAAACTCTGCTCCGTAGTACTTTTCTTCCTTTTTTTTAAATTGCAAACCAGAAATGTTTCTGACTGGATGCATTTCGAAGTGTGAGTCCTCTTGGCTTTCAGTTTGTTTGAGGTGAGGTTAGAGCAGGGGTCTTCAAACCTGGCCCTGTCATGACTTGTGGACTTCAACTCCCAGGATTCCTCAGCCAGCGTGCCTGGCTGAGGAATCCTGGGAGTTGAAGTTCACAAGTCATGACAGGGCCAAATTTGAAGACCCTTGGGTTAGAGCAGCGGTTCTCAACCTATGGGCCGCGACCCCATTTGGGGTCGATCGACCATTTCACGGGGGTCGCCAAGCAAGGCTGTCCGCCATTTTTTCCCCTTTTCCGGCGGGTGCCTTACCTCCCTTGGGCTGGGCCAGCTGGTGGTCGGCCTGCTCCGTCTCTGCCACTTGCCAGCTACGCCTCGGCCGGCGCAGGGGGCGGAACCACGCATGTGCAGCGCTCCCGGGCACGGAAAGTCCTCGACTTACGACCGGTTGGGTAGTCCTCGACTTACGACCGGTTTAGTCCTCGACTTATGACCGGTTGGGGGTCGCGGCATTAAAAAGGTTGAGAACCACTGGGTTAGAGTTACCGCTGGGCCATAACAGATTGCCCTGCTTGCATCATCTGAAAATGTCTTCTGCAACCCATAGTACTGATTGTGGGCGCCAAATGTAACAAAGGCTGCATAACAATGTAAAAAGAGGAAAGACAAGGGGCACAATCTGAAAGCCATGGCATGAAAGAGAAAGAAAAAAAAAACAGGGAGGGAGAAGGAAAACTAGGCCTAGGACAGGGGTAGGCAACCTTGGCTCTTTTATGACTCGTGTACTTCAACTCCCAGAATTCCTGAGCCAGCCATGCTGAGGGAAAAAGGAGAGGTTTCCAAGCTGAGCCATGCTGGCTCAGGAATTCTGGGAGTTGAAGTCCACGAGTCATAAAAGAGCCAAGGTTGCCTACCCCTGGCCTAGGGTGTACAGAGGGGCCATTCTGCAAAACGTGGGATGCAGTGTTTTGATAGGAGCTCTGCACGAGAAGAACTATGGCTGAGCCTTTGCAAAGTTGTGTCTACTGTCTTGCAAGATACAGGTAGTCCTCAACTTATAACAGTTAATTTAGTGACCATTTGGAATTACAACAGCAGTGAAAAAAGTGACTTATGATCGTTTTTCACATGACCGTTGCAGCATCCCCGTTCTTGGCATCCATGACGGCCTTGGACTTGACCCAATTAATTCATGCCCCCACTCACACGGGTGGACACACGCTGGATCTGATTTTTGTCTCGGGCCAGTGGCAAAATGATCTGGTATTAGGGGAGATAGTTATTGAGCCCTTGTCATGGTCAGATCATTCTCTCCTAAGGATGGACTTCCAGACCGCTCCCCCTCGC